TATATATATATTTCAAATTATATTATAAAGTTGGAAAAACTTAGACTTTATATCGTATTTTAATAAGTGATAAATGGGAAAATGCCGTTTCCTATGTCTCTTATATACAGAGATAAGCAAACCAGAAGACAGTGCGAAGTGGAAGGAAACGTATGTGTTATTATTATTACGCATTTCATCGAAAATGTAATTGATTGAATCTATACAAACGATTTATATATCCAAGCTTAAAATATTAATATTGATATTAATTATCCTTAAATTGCACGTTACGTCAAGATATTCCATCATAAGTAAAGATATGCAGTGAATTTGATTTTAATTTATGAAAATTCAACTCTGATTTCTTACTGTCTCAAATTAGTATTAATCCACATTTATAATATCGAGAGGTAACGAAATTATCCACCAAGCCACATACATCTTAAAATACGATACAAAGGATGGTCAAGTTTGATCCGAACCTTACTTCTCCCTCGAAACATTATAAAAGGACACAGATTTAAATATGCACATATATTTTTTAATATCTACATCATACATATGTTACATATGTAACATCAGATTGATCTTTTTAGGGAGATTTTAAAATATTGAAAAATGTATATCGAGCAGATCCATTATGTTGAAAGTTAATTGATATTTAGCATTTATACTTCACACAGTACATTTTATTCGAGAGACGTCTTGAAAAGATCTTTAGGATGTTCAAAGAAGAGACGTGGATCTAAAGATCTATGCAGTATGAAACCGTTTACCAACGCTGAGAAATATGCAAAGTTCGGATCAAACACAAGTTCGATTACTCTTGCGCAGTTCCTATATTACAAGTAGCAAATATATTCATGACTTCTGAATTCTTCTAAGATAAGTACGCGTGAAAGTATCGCTTATAACGAACAAGGATAGAGCGCACGCGATCGAGAAACCCGCGCTCTCCCGTTTTATTCCGACTTACGTGTACCTATCGCGATCTCCTGGGAAGTCGCGATGGCACCGTCGGTCCCGGGTCAACACGGCGGCAACTCGACAACGGGAGAATAAAATGTCCGGGTCCCGACTTGGGAGAAAGTCGCTGGATGAAGACTAAGGGCGAGATCGCAGCGGATCACACGAGGAGCTCCTTGAGGAAGTCCTCGGCAAGCAAGTCCTACAAGTAATCGTCGACGCGTTCGCTCTCATCTGGCGGGCTAGGCTCGCTTACACTCAGGATCGGCAGACCGAAGTGTTGGACCTCGATGCTCGACTCCGTAGCTGCCCGTTTCGCATACTCGCAGCTTTTCGTGTGCCGCTCGATATCTGCGCGTCGGTGATAATGATGGTGTCGTAGTGGACGAGTGACATCGGACTCGTACGATCGCCGATAACACCTGCGGGATTTCCATGGAATTAATCGATATTGATCTAAAAAAATCTAATTTTAAAATCTAATTTTAACTGAAATCAGTTCCCTTTAATAATCGGCACTTTTTTTCTTTTAATTAAGATCTTATAATTTAAAGTGGGAATAAGTGGAATAGGATGGAATAATAAAGCAAATGTTAAACATATAATATTAAAACATAATATTGAAACATATAGTTTTAAAATTATGAAATTGTCACCAATAATGATATTATTGTAATAAAAACTGAGAATTTTTGTTATGTATACTTTTGTATTGTAATTAGTTGTAATCATATTTTTGTAACAAAATAAAGTTGTTATTTAATATTATTCTTGAGATTTCCACGGGTCCTTTCTGATACTCAGTATCAAGCTGCTCCTCGCCTGATGAAGTGAATTGGTTCACGAAACATTGGTATTCCAAAAATGGATTCCACGGAAGAAACCCGCGAAACGCATAATCTTTATATTGTTATCTAATATTTTCATTAACGTTTTTCGATCTTCTATATATATATATATAGAAGTCGTCAAACAAATTTAAAAAATGCATGATTAAACGAATTTCAATCTGTAATTGATTAAAAATTATATGAAAAACATGATTGAAATTTTGTCTCTGAAATTTATTCATACATTTGACATCTATCCTGCGATTTGCAAAATGTAAGTATTATTAAATCTATGTTAAAAACTGGTTATAAAAGAATCTTTAGAAATATACTTAATTTATACGTGCATGTACGTGCATGTACTGGTACTGTTGACCTTGCACAAGGTTCGACATATGATCAAGTCGTTATTTTTTAACAGACAGGGGAGATATTTGTGGGACAAGACGACGTCATCTACAACGCTGTATTTATGATCGACAGCTTCAGGGAAACACTTTAAGTTATAAATATCGAGTGTTTGTTGGGTATTCATAAAATGATGCATTTTACAGGTCGTAGATATTTGTCAATTATCGCAGTAAGATCCCGCGATTATCAGATGCACTGTTAATATTTGACTGTAAATCTTTATCGAGAATAAAGAGGTCAAAATTCGATGGCTACTGATAGCCTTCGTGTTCTTAAATTAGAATCGAATGAAACCAAGGATCATCTTTACCGCTCGTCCATGGAAGCAGGCTGTCGCACGGGGCATCTGACGTACTCGTGGCTTCCGCCGGTGCGCCATCCCCCAAAACGTCTAGTGACTAACGACGAAGATGCTACCGGAGAGTCCCTGAAACATGAATATGAACGCGATCATTCTTGATGATAGAGATTTCGATATTCGCACGTTCTGTATAACTTGCAAAGTGGTATTATATCGTACACATCATGTACGATATTTATATTTGTATATCAAAACTTGCGATATAATATATATTCTCGGCAAATATATATCGATGAGCAAAGTTACAAACTAATACTACTACAAAATCAAATTCGACATTGAAGTTGATCGACAAGTAAGGCCGATAAATATAATTCATGTCTCGTGCGTTTAATTTGGATCTGTAAAAATCTATTTTACTTTCTAACTTTGAATATTCACTATTTTATATGATGACCAAAAAGAAATTATTGACAAAATATAATCACTTACTGATTATCAAAAATAAAAATCTGTTATTATTTATATACACTGCTCGAAATTGAAATTGCAACATCAAAAAATAGACATCTGATTATCATTCATGTATTATCATTAATGGAAATTATATAAACAAATCATTACATCAACATCATAAACAAATGTTTGGAATGCAATGTTACACAATGAAGTTGGCTGCGTTCAGCAGAAAAACTGATCACTCAATCAGTGAGCACTCAATGATTCTTTAATTACTTTAATATATTGATTTCTACATTTAGATCCAGTAAAGAACTAAAGACGATACTCAATCATATTAAAGAGATACTTACTGATCAGTTTTCTGATATTAAATTATAAATTGTTAAAATAAAATTCAATATTTTTCAATAAATTATACAATAAACCTTTTGAAATTTTAATCATTTGTTTACATTCTTCCCCCAACATAGATGTTCTATGTTGTAAATTTCTTGATGTTGCAATTTCAATTTCCAGCAGTGTATTATCGATTTTAATAGATTAAAAAAAACTTGATCAATAATGTAATCACTTGCTAATTATAAAAAATAAAAATCTGTTATTAAAGTGTATATATTATCAGTTTAGTAATGCTGTAATTTTCATTAATTCTAATCTATAAGTAAAATGTCTGTGTGCTTTAAATATTACACATAACATCACCCTACTGTAATCATTGTCGCTTGAAGCTTAAAGTACTAAAACAGTTAATATCAAATAGTGTATATTCATCTCTGTCTTTCTGATTATAGCTCTGTAAGCTGTGTAAATTAAAAAAAAATTTAAGTAGGTGTTTTGTCAAAGACTGATCAAGATATCACGTCAATTACGCCGCGGGAATTTACGCCAGGTAACGTTCTCGCTCAGAATAGTCGCTCGGCGACGATAGTAATCACTAGATAGAGAGTTCTGAATGTCAAGGGAGATAAAGTCGGCGAAGGAAAAATGACGCGCAACTTGCGTAACTACGAACAAAATCAAGCTAGGAGTTAGAAAAGGAAGTTTGCGTACCTACACGTCTATGCACGCGTCGCACTTTTATAATTCATAACTTCATATAGCAGCTGCGTGTAGCGACACATGTGCATGTAACGTTGACATTATGGAAATGATGTGATGTTAGAAAGGAAAGCAGGACGTTTGCCATGGAACGTATCCAAACAACGTGTGTGTGCGCGATTGTAGAATTTAAACGACCTAAATATATACTCGGGAACGTTCTTACGGCATGCGAGATCATTGCTAAATCACACAATCGCGTTCTAAGAAAAGACATCCCAACTTGGACGGTGCAACATGTTGCCGAAGGAAATGAAAAGTTGTCACGAGAACAATCACAGTTACCGTGCCATGTGATATGTACGATCACGATATGTACGTAATATATAAAATCAAGTCCCAATATATTTTGATAAGAACGAAAAATATATTTCCAAAATATATTTCTGTAATGTTACATTAATTTTAAGCTTGTAAAATATATCCTTTCTAACAAAAAAATAATAGAAAATTATATTTTTATAAATTCTTGAAAATCAATCTCTGATAAAAATTATTTTATAATATAGAAGGGATAGAAAATTATTTTATGATATAGAAAGAATAGAAATGAAACATGTAGATAACTAGGCTAACAAATAACTAGAAATGGTGGAATTTGTTAGTGGTCTTATACCTAGCATATATAACTATTGCGGCTGATATCGGATTCTGAAATTATCTGAAATGATCGATTTATAATGGAGGTGAGACGCTGCAAGTATATTAATTTGTAGCAACTATATTAACTCTTGCTATTGCCTAATGTAATTTTCAGATCCATATCGACACTTTATTATCGTTTTATTTCATTTTGTTTATTGCATTGCATTTTGTATGAAGTTACGATATAAAATCCAATTTCTATTTTGTGTCTTCAGAGAAGTATGGATTTATTATCAATTTATAGATGTATTTCTTATGTACTTCAAAGCTTTTCCGAACGTCCAGACGAAGTGAGCGGTAGAAGATAGAGGAATTGATCAATTTCACAATTTCTATTTCTGGTTTACGTATATTACATACGAACAGTAATTATTATTTAAGTTATTAATCAGATTTTTGCATAGCCTTAATATATTTAAGCAATCAATGTTATATTAAAAATATTTTTTGTATCTGACTTTTATCTTTAATTTATTTAAAAATTTCGTAAATTTAGATGAATTTTTGAAAGATTAGCGTATTTAATTTCAATTTTTTAATATAAACTAACGGTTATTTATCAATCTCATTTTAAAATATAATTAATAATGTATTAAAATATTATATCACTGATAAAAATATAAATAATATAATGATATAGAATATAAATGATCTTTTTATGTAAGAAGTTTCAATGTATTCAAAAGTAGAAGTAATTTGAGAAAATTCTTTTTATATTCGTATAAATGTATAAAATAAGAAATTTAAAAGAGGATAGAAGAAGAAGAAAAAATATATCTAAGTATAGATATATCATAAAATTATTATATTTGATCAATTTGAAAATTTTCGCCATTCAATAATTTGACACGGAAATGAGTCATTACAACACATATTATATTAATCGCGCTTTAATTCGTATTCCGATACGTTTGATTCCTACGATATATTTATTCTATTTATAATAAACTGTAAATAAAAATAAATTTAAAATTACATTATTCACAATTCATTTAATATAATGATCGTCATAATCAATGTTGAAATAAGAATCCACAATCCAATTTATCGTAACTATGTTGAAAAATTCCAGTGTTGGAAATAATGTAAATATAGATTCAAAAAACTCGTTAAATCTTCTATTACTAAAAGGAATAAGTATACTAAAATTACGTCGAAATAGTTTTTCAATTTGAAGCAAAAATGTTTTTCGTGATGATCTCATCATTTATTACGTTTATCAACATGTAAAATTAATAATTTCTAAATAAAGAACCAAAAGACTATGAGATATTATTTTTCAATAATCATCTTCTCTATTGGCACAATGTAGTTAAAATTGTAAAATTAATCTCTCTCTCTTTCTCTCTCTTTCTGTTTAATTATTTTTTGAAATGAGTGTTTTATACGATAAAAGCGAATATGTATAGTTCATATAATTCTTTGGTTATTAATCTTCTTTACACAGAACTTCCTTTAAATGCATTTTGATAGCAAGATGTAGAGCTTTAATCAGATACGTTAACATATATATTCTGATAATTAAAAAAGAAGAGAGCGAGAGCGAGATCGAGAGAGAGAGAGAGAGAGAGAGAGAGAGAGAAACTTATTCAATATATAAACCATTCTATTTTATTCTTGGGTAACTTTAACTGCCACCCTTGGCAGTCAAAGAATTAAACATCGCACGTCGTGCATTCTTGCAACCAAGACCAATGCAAAGATCGTTGACGATATCATCGCTGATGCTAATCGCTTAATGATAGCGACGTAGCAGAGCGTTACGAAAAGCGAGAAGGTCGAATGACTACTAACAGAAAGGGTCACAAAGTAGCGAAGTCATTTACATGCGAGGTACGGGTCAAGTGGGCATCGCCTATACTGAAATTGTGATCGATAGCTGGCTGGCCAACCACGGAGCCATACATCAGCTTGCATCGCGGATCGAAGTTCGTCGCATTCCCGCAACGAACGATGTATCACCCCGTTTAAATTCCCCGGATCATCATTATCGCTCGCTCAAGGAGCGAGAGTACACCTGACGCGAGCTACGGCCAGGTCGATGCATTTATTCTGTGTAAGTCGCGCCCCCGACGATCTGCATTTCTAACAACTATATAGATCGCTTCGAGTGGTATCGGCAGCAAATCTGGTCATAGGATAAATTAAAGTGGAGATGCTGATATCGATATCAACTATTTCAGGACTATTAAGCCTGAATTTTGAAATCTTTAATTTATAAGGATTAATTAGATTCAAATATTAATTTAGAAATTGTGAAAATGGATTTTATACCTGGAAAAAAGAAGAGAAAAAAATAATGTTATATATATAGAAATTTCCTGTATATATATAGAATTTCAATATAATATATTCTTCCGCATATTTTATCGATGTAATTATATTACCAAAAAAAATTCTACATTATCTCTTTCCCTATAATCTTTAGATTATCACGCATTGTATTTATGTTTCGAAAAGTTAACATGACAATGACTAATTCTTTGAGGATTAAAACTTTGTTTCGTTTTTCATTAAAGATATTTGTGTCGAAGCATTATCAAAAATATAAAAATTTCAGATTATTCTAGTATCACGTCTGAGCTGTGTAAAATTTGAACATAATTCTTTTATTGTAGTTTAAAAGTCATTTAATTTTTTTTATCTGCCTTTCAATTCAAATTATTTATGTACACTAATAAAACTCTAATAAATATTCATGTAAAATTTCATTCGGATTCACTTATTCATTTAAAAGTTATTTTATTAAAACTGTAGCAAAATATGATAATTGCGCTGTAAAAGCTATTCAGAGTTAAATACTTTGTTTTGTTTTTTTGCACCTGGTTTCTGGCTTATTTATAACAAAATTTTTTAACTGGTATGATTTTTTGATTGAATTTTTTACTAATATTTAACTAATATCAGCCGAAACATCCTTAAATATATTCCTCCATTGAGAATGTTCTTTTCTGATATTTTTTATTCTCCAATTATATTTTATTTATCAGATACCTCAAATGTGTGAATGATGATTTTATTCACATTTTTTTAATGGCTCTTCACAAGATCTTTAAAAGTCTAGAATTATGAGATGGAAATTTTGTGAATTGAGCAGATATCAATTTCAATGACAGGAGAGAAAATATAACAATTTATCTCAATGCTAATTCAGATGTACAATAATATCAATTTGCAAAAACGTAATATTTCACTTGAAATAGTTAAAATTTATACATTCGATTGATACCATTATTAATAATTGTAATCTTTATAGGTTTAAACTGGTTAACTGTAAATATTTTATAAATCGTGTCGATCTCAAACAACAGGAAATTTAACATTTTGAAATTATATATACATGTGCACATGAATACAACGTTTAATTTGATATAAATGTCAGTGAACACGAGCATTAAACTATATTTATATTAAACGAACACGAGTTGTATTCTTAACAAAGAAATGATGGTGTTCCATGAAATGGAAATTATCAACCGGTGCAAAATATCACGATCGCAAAAATATGTGGAAATATGTGTAAATTCGTAATTTAATAATTCATAATTGTTGCAAGAGCATATACAACATAAAATTGGTATAGAAAGCAATTGCGATGCGTGCAGTCGAGTGTGTAGTTTTATAAAATTCGCAAATTTGTATACATTGAATAAAACACTACTGTTCAAAAATATTTATCCACTCTGTTGTTCTTAATTAAATGAAGAAGAATGAATTTCCATTTTTTTCTACTTTCTAGATATTAGACTTAATAATGTTTAATAGCTAAAAATTTTTAATTCTACATACAATATAAGAATACGATAGAATTATAACGGAATTCAAGTATATAAAAAAGATATATATACAAAAAAAGATATACATACAAAAATTGAGGTGATCAAATACTTTTAGAGTGTACATCCATCAGTTATGAGGACTTTACGAGATGCTTCGTACAACTTGCAATCTTAATTTGAATGACAGATTACGAAAGTTCGCAGCTGATTTTCCCTTCTGTCACTGAAACTGAGATTCGCTCAATTTACAAAATTTACTCATAATTTCCAGACTTCTAGAGATCTTGTGGAAAGCTGTGAAAATAAAACGCGCGAATTTACATCACGAATGAAAGTTATTATTATTCAGCATTTATATGAATAATATTTTTCCACGAAATTGCCGCAAAATTGCCGCTGTCATAATTTTTGTTTACACGAGTGTAAGTGAACATCTACAAAAAAAAATATTATAGGATGACCATGCTTTTTTGATGCAGCAATTGAAATGTAATATGCTCACGGAAGCTCGTCGAGGAATATTTGTACATGCATCCCATGATAGAAGAGCGCCGTTTCGGTCTCTATTGTATTATTCAAGTGCTCGTAAAATCGTTTTGAGATTTGTGAGCAAAAACATTTGATAATAAATGATAAGATAATGAGGAGAGTGGACAGAGGACCCTTCGTCTAAAATCACAATGCAGTTCTACGGTCAATATGAATTTATTTCCCGAACGGACGTATAAGTCTTTAACAATCGTTTATCATTCTTCTATGATTTCATCTAATCATATAATCATATATCACATAACAGATTACTATTGACGAAACAGGATAAAGAAGCGTGTCCGTCCAAGTTGTTGATTTATAAGGATATCGTCTTCATGCTGCAAATGGCAAATGCAAATTTCTTAGAGAGTTTACTTTGCTTTCAAGATAATGTTAAATCATATTTAACTGCGTGTAATACGCGTAAGGGCATAACATACGTAAAGGCATATATAATTCTATCGCTGTAAGTGAGTTAGTTCAGTCTGGTTTGAACATATGAATATTGCATTGGAATTAGAACGTCAAATATTGTTTCGAATATTCGCTTAATTGCTATGAGCGCGGAATCTCTTCTGATAATAGTAGAAATTGAATAATATCGAACGCTGAAGTAACTGACAAACATAATACGTTGAAATTTGAGAAAATTAATTTTAGTTCTCTCTCCATAACAGTCCACACGAATATTTTATGCCAAGGCGCAACTCTTTTAGCGTGGCTAAAATATCGGGTCAAAGGAACAAGAATCGAAAATCGGTGTATGAGAGTGACCCTTAAATTTAATCTACCTTGAAGAAGACTGCTGATGACTAGGATCCAATAGCGATGTTTCCGTATTGTCCTTCGTTGCACTCTCAAGACTACTCTGCCTCCTTGAGTCCTGATCCTCGGACTTGTCGTCTTGATTTGGCTTCAAAAAGGACTCCCGGTCGCCTTCGGTACTGTCGTCCTTGGAGTTCCTTCGAGGATCCTGGCGATTTGTTGACGCAAGAGGTAAATTATCTGCACTGCGAACCTTACGACACAATTTGGACGTGGACCCGTGGCGTCGCAGAAATTCCTGAAATCACAAGTCGTCGGACGTGCTCAGAGTGATTGGGATGATGCTTTTAACAATTTCCTTTTTTTTTTAACAGAATTGAACTTCTCATAGATTCTTTTTCACGTTGTGCGCCATTTAGTGTAATACGAGTGTAATGTGGTAGCATAAGATAGTGACGTATAAGTAAAAAAGGGAGAAGAGTATAACGTTTATAAAATTGAAAGGTGTAACGTTTCTTTGAGAGAAATATGTTTACGAATAAATGTAATACAACTAAAAGTAATATAATATCAATCTCATACACACAGCACAGATCATTTCAGCAATATTGTAATAACGTTGCTGCAAGGATAATTTCATACTTAACAATATAAGTGTAATAAGTATAATGTATGTATTATATAACAGTCACATTGTTGAGTGTGAAATTATAATTGATGTTACTTTTAGTTGATATTTACAGAATTATTTTTATTGTAAATGTGTGCTGTGCTTGTCTTCCTTCATGCACAAGATTAACTTCGATCTTCGAAATACGGATTAAAAAACTGCGAATAGCGACGCAGTACCGGATATGTATTTTTTTTGCGAGATGATCGATTTTGTGTCACGAACGCAACGAAGCGAATTCGGGCTGATCAACCCGTGAACTCTCGTGGGCGTTTCGCAGAAATGAAATAACACCGATATATATAATGCAAGAAGAGCACCGAGGTATTAATTTATACATTTGTCTTGTAAATTCGTAATTTGTCAGAAATTGGCAACGATTGATTATCCGGACAATTTAGTCTGTCAATTCCGCGTGCTGTTGCAAAGAATACGCTGAATGCAGCAAATCGCGTGTGCAATATCGACCTTGAAGAACATCAAGCAAAGAATCTTATATTATTAACGATATTACTGTGCTAGTACTGTGCCAATTGCGAGCCAATTGTCGTTAGTAGTATTGTGCCAATTGTGACGGCAAAGTGTCCCAATATAATGTGTATGAATATACAAATAAATTTATTATGTATTTATATATAAATATATATAATATACAAAGTGTATACGACAAATAATAGATAGACATCCAGTGCCGACTTAGAATGAGAGAATCGCGATTTGGAAATGTAATACACACATCGTTCATGCGGCGAAAATGAATTTGTCCATTTCCTTACAAGTAATCCACGAACATATCGATCATCTGATGCTACACTTCGCCACAGACTACCTTGAACTTTGACGTTTGAGGTATCTCTTTCGCACGAACTCTTTCGTGTTCATTATTTATTGAAATAACTGTCGCACTGAGGGATATGGTTATTCCCTTCGACTTGGTTGCGTTAAGTTAACAATATATGCCGAAACGCGCAATCTGAAACTATAACAATCGTGTAACAATCGTGCAAAGGGAAGGCAATGTTCACGGGTGATTGTTCCGGTACGCGGAAAATGGTTTCAATTTTTGGAAGGCAATCTGTTGCAGTGATCATGATTAATAGTCCGCGAGCTGTTGTGATAAAATAATCAATCGCGACAATCGCGCGATATTTGTTTTTGTAAAAAAAAACATGAAATGAAATTAATAAATTTTTGCTTCATCTTTGTCTCGTCAAGTTTAATGATTACTTGTTCTTTCTACTGTTGTTCTCTCATGTATTATATAATTGAAATAGACTTTCGAAACGAAAAACGCAGCCACTTATTTATTATGCAAAAAGCTGGTATAACGTGATCTTCATTTCTATCTACAAAGACAAGAAACGCGACGATGTATTATTTGACAATTCTACTCTAATGATGTTATTAAAATTCAACGTTATCTTACTATAAAAATTTAACTAGTTCACGTTATCTCATAATTCTTAGAAATTCATTTATTTCTTTTGCCATTTAGATTAAATTGAAATATTAGATATCTGACTGAAAATGAATTAAAAATTATAAGTTTATATATTTCGTTATTATAATATATTGTTTTAGTATATTTTATTCTTAAGGATGCATCAGCATAATGTCTCTGCAAAAAATAACTGGAATTGGAAATTTATACTTTCTATATACTATATAAAAATAAATATTATATGCATATTAAATAATTCAAAATAAAATTAAAATTTATATTTAACAATTTTATAATTTAAATTACAATTTTCTCTTTTATTTTCATTATTTTTTAAAAACGTATCTACTTCTAATTAAAATAATTTTTTATCCCAGTTTTAATTACTGCCAAATTTTTTTTGTATTACTTTCAAATATATACATATAATTTATAATTTTTTCATAATTTTTTTCATTTTGTTGTAAAAAATACATATATATCTTAACAATAATTCCAATATGCATCTGATATATGTGTATGATATGCATCTATGATATGTACCATATATATCGTATTGTCAGTGTCATGTTAGAAATATGAACCAGCTTGAGTTCCAGGATACGCTGCACATATTTAAATTTCGATAATTTATTTCTCAATCATTCTATTCTCGATCACCCAAGTGTCAATCAAGATATAAATTCAAGGAAAGTTACAGATTATTACAGAGAATCGTTGTAACAATTTGTAGCATGTAGTTAAAGTTAAATGTTATCCTCGGAACTCGCCCACCGGTTCCACTGATTTCCGATTTCAATCTTCCCGATTGCTATAATCGGAAACTGGCCTCATGGATCGGCACGATTACGCGGCAGCTACGCGACTTGCGTCCGCTCCACCTCTGGAGAAGGTCGCGGCGAAATCGCGCCAGTCGATCGATCGGGTCGGTTCGAGGACGCGGCTGTCCACCTCACGTAATCCATCGATCTCTCTATGTGGATTTTTCCCGACACGATTACTTACCTGCGATAGGAAGCCGGCCACGTCGATGGCACTGTTGACGCGCGGCCTCGAGGTTCTCGGCCAGCCTAAAGCTCCGCCGCTGTCTAAGGAGTCCACGTGATGGCTCGACCAGTGCAGATGCTGGAAATTTCAGTCGTTTCTGATCACGTTATCAGAACGGGAGAGAAAGCGCGATCGACGGCGATGATAATTGCAGTCGAGCGCGATCTCTCGAGAAGTATGACGTTTTAATGCACGTGGGATCTACGTGATAAGAAAAGTTGAAAGGCCGACGGGGGCGAGCGAATGAGGGTGCCGTGTCGTGAACAAAATTGCAGAGACGAGAGTGAACTACAGGATGCATCAGAAGTCCCGCGATTCCTCTTGCTCGTAAATCTCTTTGTAAATTATTAATCAGAGTTAACAGATTAAAGAGAAAAAAAATTTTTACAATTTTTTTTCACACAAACTAAATAACTTTAAATAAATCTTTAAATGATATTTCTTCAATCAGTTCTAAATGGAAAGGCATATTAAATTTTATTTAAAATAAAATTGATCTCACAATAAAATATTTATAATTTAAAGATCATTTATAATTTTGGTTTTCTTTTTAATATTTAATTCTAAAAGAAATATATTAATTTACATCAAGAGAGATTGAAATAAATTTCTGTTGAGTTAAAAAGTTATTTATTTTTAATCTCATCGAGATAAATTACAATTTAAAGTTTGCTAAATTCATTTCTATTTTGACATTAATTTCTAATGTCTTTTGTAAAGTAAAAAGTAATGAAATTTTGAAACATGGTAAGCACGGTACTTCTGGGACAACCAGCACAACGACGTGATGATGATTATAATATGAAAATGTCGCTTTTTATTCAGGGAAAAGAAACGCGATTTACCGTGATATGACAGAACAAATATCCTCATAATGTAGCACCTTCATCGCATTGCCCCTTTCTTATTTACGTTCTATTTCTCTTGAACAACTGGGATAAGAGCACGTTTCTAAATTTTGCACTCTACGTTGCTACGCGTACATCATTTATCTATATCGACTGACTTAGGGTGAGAAAGAATTTAAACCTCGCAATTAGGGATAGGTGCTAGCGTATATTAACGGCGTTAAAAACGCTTCTCAAATTCTTACTGGTAAATATGGGCATCGATCTCACATCTCGCGGTCATGTCATTTCCACAAAAATTCAGGGACTGATGTTCGGGCTACGAAAATACTTACACGTCAAAGTTCATCGTATATTCGAACACGCTAATTAAATTTGGAGGCGATCGAAAATCAACTCGGACGAAATGGTGATTTCCATAAAATCGATAACAAACTATTAATCTTGCTTTGCAGATATACTTGTACATTTTTTTAAATCAAGTAGGAATTGATTACGGATTTCGAATAAATGGCATGACGCGATAATTCTGCGATTTTCGCTGCAATTAATAGTTGTCGTAAAATTCTTAAAAAATATATAACAAACAATTATTTATTATAAAATTATTAAATTTGAGAATTATTAATTTTAATCAGCATCTGTTATTTCGAGAATCTGTTTTATTTATCTAATTTCTATATTAAAACTTTCTTCAATTAAAGCATATATTAAAAAACATCCAACAATAAACTGAATAATGTTTTATTCAAATATCATTAGATTAATATATTTTCCGATTAAAAATAAAATATGTTGAATTTAAAAAACATAAATTTTAGAAGGAAAAAAAACATTTGCTAAATTTTTTACTGAAAAAAAACTCGTGATCTCTTCATTCGCAAACCAATGTCAATTATATTAACAATGCTGATTATTTCCACGTTCCTTGTTTTCCATGAAAAATATTTTTGAAGCACGCTTTCGTCCGAATTTTCGTATCGCCAGCATAAATAGCATTAATAGCATAAATCGTGCTGTCGTATCGCAAAAGTAACAAAAAATTCTTTACGCAAAAAAATTTTTGGGAGCCAGTACTTCTTTGCAACGTAACATCATCCATTCTCTTACTGACACGAATTTTTGCACGATACGACGAGCTACTCTGGCTCTACTTGAAAGCATTTCAGATTGTAAGCGTTTTTATGAGTCGATAATCATGATGAAAAGCATTATGCACTGAACATCGTCTTAAAATTCCTGTTAACTCATCATTGATATTATTGTATTTTGTAAAATAATATTATAAATATTTTCGATTCTATTGATCGTAAGTTATTTCGTTATTTTAACAAATCACATTTCTATATTAATATATTTGGCAAAATATTAATTCTTATTATTTATTTTCTCGCTTTTGACGTCATTATCTGAGATAGTAATGGATTGTAATCGTGAGTGAACAGGAGCTTTAATTCGGAATGGCGTTATTTGGAATGGTTATTTGTTTTAATCTGCCATTAATGCGAGGAGGTGCAATGTTCAAAGCTGATTTAACGACGCCAATTCATCCTCTAGAGTATAAATTGATTCTTGTTTCAGATTTCAATAAGAGTGCCATATATTGATCTTGGAAATAAGCGTAATCGTAAAATGAGTGACAAAACGATGAAAACAAAATGAACCCTGCACTTGACAGCAAGTGAACACAACATATTATAACGATAACACAAGTGGCTCAAGTTAATATCGTGAAACAAGGGGCGAAACACGATCAAACGACACAAAATAGCAGCGCCCTACCTCGTTGCACCAATAGCATGACTTTTCACGCGTAATCACTAATATGCGATTCAAGCGACTGGCATTATAAACTCCTGTGCATAAAAGTCTTCGGTATTGTGCTTTAAGAGTGCCATATATATTTAAAGAGGTAATTGAGGTGGGGTTGAATTTTTAAGCGGCTCGAAGCAATTGAGAGGCGGTGATCTGCTTTCAAATCAAGCTGCTGGGAGTGTCGTTGAACGAAAAGGGAATTTATTGGAAATAAATCGGACGGAAATCCGGAACAAAGACGGTGTCCTCTTCGTGCGACGAGTAACTCTTGTTTTCTGATGATTTTAATTTCTAACGCTTCAGATGCGGTATCTGTTACTTTTGCACATATAATGATACATTATCATCATTTTCGCGTCGCGATAACATGAGAATGTAATTTGCATCTGTATGCATTCAAGCGAGATGATCAAAGATATTTTATTTTTTAAAGCGCTCACCTAAATTATTTACAGACTTCTGGACAAACTTATCGGAAGATTCCTGCGCTTTAGCGTAGTTTAAATGAAAAACTCGTAAACTGTGCAGTATTAATTCGCAACTACCGTAACGACATCAACTTTACCGCAGATATTTCATAAAGTGTTTCGAAAGGATGCGTACTTCTCTTTTAGTACTGACTTCTTCAACTCATTTATAATTTACCTTTCCAGTTATCATGAGAAAAAAATAAAATTGACTTGTAAATTGAGTCGTTGACGAAATTAAGTAAAAGAAATAAAATACATAAAAGATCGTTCCAATCTGTCAATATGAATGACAGTTACATTCATTTCTCTTTAATCTTTAGTAATTGAGAGTTAAACTTTTTTATGCTTATTATTATATAAGAAGTGCATAAGATGTTGAGGCAATCATCGTGTATTTATGGTTTTGAAAACTAAGCTCAGAATTAAGCCGCTTTTAATGTGCCCCAGAAAATATTCAGCGTTAGCGCGTTGGAGCGTATTTCATCGATTGCTTGAGCCATGATTATTTTTTGCCTCTCATTTTGCGAATCTGTGAATTGCACGGAGAGACGAGCGAAATAAAACGCATTAAAAATTAAAGCAGCTGGAAACATCGAGTTAATGGAACATGAATCTAAATTCATGTTGTACGCGAAAAAAAGTTTCCATTTTAATGTTAGAATATTATCTATATGATCGTAAAAATTTTCTATCCTGCGCCGCCATTCTATACTAACCCGGAAATAGACGTGGACCGTTACTTTTTTATGACGCAAATATGATCATGTAACATTTTACAGCTTTTGTTCGTAAATAGTTAGGCTTGTATAATGAGTGATAGTTTACGTAGTTATCATCAGAAATATAATTTTTTCAGTCAAATTTTTTCAGTCAATTAAAAAAATTTTATATTATAGAATCAAAATCGGTTGATTATATTTTCATAAATTAGAATGAAAGAAAAAAAACGGGAAGCTTTCATGATTTACGGAATTAAGATGTAAATTAAATTTTGCGCAATTATTTCTATCAAACGAAATGATTTCTCTTTCTCACATCATGAACTGAATCTCTTTTCTCAACAAACCGTTTTTCATCTAACTTTGAAAATTATACAGAATGATTATATATAAATTTAATTAAATTTTAAACAATGGATAAAGTCGTATAGAATAAAATAAATTTTTTAATAAAAAATATCTACGAAAGCGCGTGCAATGAAAGAAATTATTGTACAGTATACGAAATTACAGTGATCCCTCAAGAGAATGAAAAACATTAAAATCTTTCTCTTTGTTACAATTATAATGACATGATGCTTCCGTGCATCATGACCTGAAAGCTTTCATTTCCCTCTACACATTTCCAAGTACAGTGTTGTAGATACGCTATTGTACGATACTAGGCGTCATACGTACATACGTGCTTTAATTAAATGTATTCTGTAGAGACATCTTCAGCAAATATATAGACATATCGTAATTATTCAAAGCTAATAGTCAAGTATTAATTGACAGCTAGCATTTGCGTAATATCTCAAGCTTAAAATTGATAATATCACATCACATTAAAGATTAATCTCAAAATTTTTTAATATTTCCTTTTGAAATATAGATATCTGAAACGCAATAGGCGATCAGTGTAGACCAACTCACTAATTGCAGAGTTTACTTCTCTAATAAATAGTCGGATTCGCATCGGTGATATTTGTTTTGCTCTAAACCGCGGAAATACATGCATGTAATGCTTAATATTATTTTAATAATGGAAGCATACACCAAATTATCCGAGCAATCCACTCCGTTACAGTATCAAAATACCTTTAAAAAATGTTTTGAAAATGTCAGTGTCACGTGTATCAAAATATATTAGCGATATTTTAATAACTGACATCTTTTTTTTACGATCAATCATAATAGATGTATACTTAATACTTGGCGCATAAATATGAAAAATTTCTTATTTA